TGGGACACGACTGTACCAGGGACACAGATAGCAAATGAAACCTCAATAGCAACTATTTATCATTCTAAGAAGTTGATAAGGTGTGGAGCAGCATGACTTGGTAGAGAGGCCACTGGTTTGGAGTCAGAGGACCTGGGCTCTCTTCTCAGCTCTGTGTGACCTTGGGAAAATCAAAGTGCAGCCCTTTGACTCAGTCAAAGTCACTTGAGGACCTAAAGGGCCACGTGTGGCCTTGAAGTCAGCCGTGGGACCCAAAATCACCCCCCCCACTTCCTTCCATTCCTCTCCCAGTTAGGCAGTCTCATCAGCTGGCACCTGATACCATTTTAACTCTTCAGAATACTTTAAGACCACTAACCCTAACCTGAACCTTCCCATTTTCCAACCTGGGCAGTGATATTTACATAGAATGAAGTCATGCTGAAAAATTCCTTTCTAGAACTGCCTGATGCACAGCTATTTGTCTTTACTCAGGAAGTGTGGTTGAGTTGGTTATAAAGGATCAGTTAGTTATAAAGAACCTTGGGTTCTTAGGATCATAAAGATCACAGAACGAAGGCTGGAAGGGACCTCAGAGGTCATCTCTTCCAACTCCCTCAATTTAAAAATTAGGAAACTAGATTCTAAAGGGGTTAAATGACTTGTCCTACCTAGTCACATGAGTTTTAAGAAGCAGAGCTGGAATTTGAACTCAGATTTCATAACTCCGAGTCCATTGTGAGAGGTCGGTGCTCTTTCTACCACACCCACACTGCCTCCCTATTTCAGGTTCTGACGCTATCTAGTTTGAGGCTGCTAGGTGGCACAATCAATAGCGTCCTGGACCTGGAGTCAGGAATACTTGAGTTCAAATTTGACCTCAGAAACTTATTAGCTGTTTGACCCTAGGAAAACCGCATAATCTCTATCTGCCTCGTAGGGTTGCTGGGGGAAAAAAATGAGATAATATTTGTAAAGTGCTTTGCAAGTCTTAAAACACTATATAAATGCTAGCCAGTATTATTATTGGGCAAGTCACTCACCTTCTGGGTCTCATTTTTCTCTAAATAGATTATGTGATCTCTAAACTTCCTTTCAGCTCTAACATTCTCAGCATCCTTGGGAAAGCCCATTTCTATTCCATCCCAATCAGTTCCTATATGCCTAATAATCTGGTTATGTGAACAGACAGGCCAAGAGCACCACCTAATGTTCAGCCCCAAATACACATACCCAGAGTCCACATCCTGGACTCACCCTGCCCCAAGACGCACCTAAAAAGCTCTAAATAGACACGGAGCAACAAGAGAAGGCCATAGGTCATTGTCCAAAGATTCATGTCCTTAGTTGCACCACAGATGATAGCAAGAAATCTCTCCTGACTCCTCTCCATTCCCCTCCTCTCCCACCTCTTCCCGTTCCTCTCCTCTTTCCTGCCCCATCCCCACCTCCAGGCCAAGGAAGGTTTGTAGCCAAGGTCCTGGTAAGACAGAGGCTATAAGGTCAGAGACATAGGGTTTCTTAACGGACACTCACTCTTAAAGACAGCTTGTTTTGTTTCATTTTGTTTTTTTGGCTTATTGTAAGGTTTGTGAAGGTGCCATTCCCTCTAAGTAGTGTATATTATATCCTTATTTTACAGATCAGATAGTAGGTAAGTGGGGTGGCTAGGTGAAGCAATGGGTAGGGAACCAGCCCTGGAGTCAGGAGGACCTGAGTTCAAATGTGACCTCAGACACATAACACTTACTAGCTGTGTGACTGTGGGCAAGTCACTTAACTCTACTGCCTAGCCAAAAAATTAAAAAAAAAAGTCAAGTCAGGATTTGAACCAAGGTCCTATGGCTCCTGAGGCAGCTAGGTGGTTTAGTGGATAGAGCCCTGGAATCAGGAAGATCTGAATTCAAATCTAGCCTCAGACATTAAGTGACCCCTGAGCAAGTCACTTAAACTCTGTTTACCTCAGTTTCCTCAATTGTAAAATTCCTCAATTGTAAAATGGGGATAATAATAGGCCCCTCATTCCAGAGTTGTTGTAAGTATCAAATGAAAAATATTTGTGAAGTGCTTAGCACAGTGCCTGGCACATAGTAGGTGCTTAACAAATGCTTGTTTTATTCCCTTCCCCTCTAAATACAGAAAAGTTTTTCTACTTTACCAGAGCTCTCTATACTATACAAGACTCCATGATCCTCCGCTTCCCAAATCTGCTCCCACCTACTGTTCAGAGAATCACAGATTTAGAGCCAGAAGGCACATCAGTTTATCATTTTATCAGTGAAGGAACAAGTTGAGAGAGGATAAGAGGCTTGTGCAGGGTCATAAAGCTAGTATTTAAGGCAAAATTTGAACTCAGGTCTTCCTGCCTCTAAGCACAGTACAATGCTCCTCTCTTCCCCCCTTCTCCCCCTGCCGCAGTCCAAAGAGTTTCCATCCAGCATTCCATAAAATCCTTTTACGTACAGGTTAAGAGTAAACAAGGGCACAAACATTCACCTTCACCCCATCTAAGAACCAGGGTCATAAAAATAAAGGGTTGGCAAGAATAGTCCTGGAACCCAAATGACAAAGGATGCCTTCCTCTCACGCCAGAAGAGCAAGGGATTATTAAACATTGGATATGCATTCAAATGCCATCACTGTTCATAAGTCTAACTGTTTTTCTATGTTCAAGGAAGAGCTTGATCTAGAGAGAGGGAGGAGAGTCTTTTTCCAGAAATGACTGTGATAGAAAGAAAAAAAGGCATCAACGAAACACATTAGAAATAAAGATAGATTAGGAACAAAAGGGCTTCAACTCTCAAATCAGAGTTGATCCTGTCTGCATTATTCATTGATCATAAGACCGAGTTAGAATAGATTTCAAAGATCAACTCATCATTTTACAGATAAGGAAACCAAGGTCCTAAGAGAGTAAATGACCTACCCAAGGCTATACAGGAAGTAAGTAACATCCTGGGATTTTAACTTAGGTCCTCTGACCCCAAATTCAGTTCTCTTTTAATAAAACATCAGTATAAATGGTGATATACGTCTACCTCTACACAAACGAAATCTGTATATTTAGGAGAAGGTGGAGGTTTAGCCAACACCACAGGGGGACTAGCTGCCGCAGTGATTGAGGCACCTGGTGGTATTGGTTTCCTCTTTGCCTCTGGTGCCAAACTCCTTCACCTAAACTCTCATTTGTCATTTACTAAACCAGAAAAAACCCCACGTGTTTAGATTTCTGAAATATTTCTTTAGTGCCCCTCCAAAAAAAGAACTTAAAAATAGCTATAGTGAGTCATGCCCATGGACCACTTGGGACCCAGAATATCCCTTCATCATCTCACTAGAGGCAGCCTGGAGTTGAATTAGCAAATTTCCAAAGGGACTCAGTGGAGGGGAAGTCAGAACTAGCAAAAAGTAATACAGAATTTAGAAAACAAGGCTAAAGAGAGAAGTCGTCAGATCTCCATTTCCCACTATGCTCAGACCCAGAGAGCATCACTCATTGAGGGGGAAGAAATCTTAATATTCCAAATCCCATGGGATTATGTGTCTAGGCACAAGTCAATTATGTCACAATGTGAAGACCCTAATGGTACAAGAGTCTCCTGAGATGCAAAAGGTTTACAAAGCATTAGAATAGTATGTGGAGATTCAGTATGATAAAGGGATAAAGCTGGGGCTACAATGTAATCCCCAAACTAGGAGACCTGACAGAATAGAGCTGACCCTATGGAACAGGTCAAGACAAATACCTGCACAAAAGAGGCTTCAGAAGACCTTCGTGTCATCTGCCAAGAAGGAGAGAAGAGGTTAGAGTGAAGAGGTGAAGGGGATAGAGAGCAGGATGAAGAGAAAGGAGGATGTGGAGAGTAGAGGGGAGAAAGAGAGAGAGAGAGGGCAGGAGAGAGGTGAGGGAGACAAAGACAGAGACAAGAGAGAGGGAGACAGAAAGAGACAGAGACAATGAGAGACAGAGAGAGGGAGACAGAGAAAGAGGAGAAAGATACAGAAATAGAGACGGGGGTGGGGTGGGGGTGGGGGGAGGGGCGCTGTGTGAGAACTCAGAAGTTTTCCAGTTGTGAAACAAGGTATACGGGAAAATCTAAAACCTCACCCACTAATATGTGAGATTGCAGGACAATATAACCATTTGGGAAATGGGTGCTGAGAATGTTTCTAATATTTTATGCTTCCTTTTCTGCTACAATTACATGTTTTTATTGATTCAATGCTGTTGAGTGCTTGGGTTTCTGTTAGCCCGGAATTAACAGGTTATCTAGGCTTCCAGTTGACTAGAGAATCATCCTATTTCACCTGGGGATGAGGACTCAAGCTCTGTAGGATGCACTTACCAGAAAAAAGCCTTCACAAATATGAACCCAAACTCATGAGAGGTTTACCCAGGGGCAACAGAACCGAAACTTTCTTCCCTTTCAGGTCAGGAAGTAAGCAAGTCACCAGCTTCCTTTTAGAAGTATTTTATGAAAGGCAAACTCACTAACTCAACATGAAAAGGAGAAGGCAAAGAAAGAAGGAACAAGTAATTAGGTCACATGCCACAGCTCCCAAGATATTGGGAAAGACCTTTTCCTAGTAAGTTACACCAACAGACTGTTCACAACACAACCTGGGTTCTTAGTTACTATAATAACAAATACTTTGCACAATTAAATGTTCTCTGTCTTGGGGCCCATTGAAATATTGATGCTGCTGCTGATAGCAGCTGACATTTAAAACATGCTTTGAGGTTTGTAAAATACTTTACAGATTTTATCACATTTTATCCTCAAAACAACCCTGCAAAGTAAGTGCTATTATATCCCCGTTCTACAGATGAGAAAACTGAAGCAAGCAGATTTGAAGAGACTTGTTTAGGGTCACACAGCTAGTGTGTATCCAAGGATAGGTTTAATTTCAGGTGTTCCTGTCTGCAACTCCAGCTGCACCATCCGGCTGTGTCAACCAATAAACCTTTTCAAACATCAACCTCTATCCCAGTTCATAGTGGCAGAAAAATAAAATCTGAGTAGAGAAAATAGAGATCCATTTTATTATCATAATACAAAGCAAGAAAGTGAAAGATTTTGGGGGATGTTGTTTCTAAAGGGAAGAAGGTTTCCTTGAAAGATTGTAGCTTCCATTCATCCTCTTCAGATGGACCTTTGAACTGGAGGGCAGCTGTGCCTAGGCCATCCTCCCCTGCATTCCCCCTTTCAGTGGGCCCTTATTGTCCTGGATTTTTTATAGAGTTCCATAGTAGCTCCAGCATCTTCCACAGAGGAGTGTCCAAATTTGCTGTTCTGTAAAGATAGAGAGATAGATATTTAGTCACCAGAGTGAAGAGGTTCAGAGCAAGGATATTTGGGAAAGGTCCACCATGACTGGGGCCCACACTCAGGTGGGCACTGGTTTCATCTCTCTCTTTGGTACCCAAGGCTCTGGTTGCTTAATCCTCATCTCTACTTTCTGGAGCCAGGGCTTGGGTTATAGAAACACTCAAGATAGCAGAATGGTATAGTGGAAAGAGACTTGGGTTTGGAGACAGAAGGAATTGGGGCTGTAAGACATTAAGTGAGAGAGGGCAGGAGAGAGGTGAAGGAGACTACTCAATTTGTTTACCCATCTGTTTATGGTAGCTGGTGACATAGTGAATAGTTATTGGACCTGGAGTCAGGAAGACCTGAGTTTAAATCTGGCCTCAGGTACTTAGCAGCCGTGAGATCCTCTTTTTGCCTCAGTTCCTCAACTATATAATGGGGATAATAACAGCACCTATTTCACAGGGCTGTTGTGAGGATCAAATGAGATATTTGTGAAAGTAAAGAAAGAAGGAACAAGTAATTAGGTCACGTGCCACAGCTCCCAAGATATTGGGAAAGACCTTTTCCTAGTAAGTTACACCAACAGACTGGTTATACAACACAAACTGGGTTATTTGTTACTGCAGTAACAAATACTTTGCATAATTGAATGCTCCTTGTCTTGGGGGCATAATAATATTGATGATGATGATGATTACAGGTACAATGCCTGGCACATAATAGGCGCTATGTAAATGCTTATTCCCTTCCCCTTTCCCCATCTACAAAATGGGGACAATAATTCTTTCAGTACCAGCCTTGTGGGACTATTATGAAGAGAGATTTATAAATTGTAAACTGACATATGAATGTGAGTTGTTGCAATTATTAAACCCCAAGCCATAGAGTTGCTATATCCTGGCTCCCTTGAGGACCAGAGTCTTGGAAGGCCCAGGAGGTAGAGCAGGGACTCTGCTTAAGGAAAAATCTAAGCTGTCTGATCTAGACCAGGGATATGGGGAGACCCCAAAGTTACCTCTCTCATCAGTTGTTTCAGTTGTATCTGACCCATTTGGGATTTTCTTGGCAATGATACTGGAGTGGTTCGCCATTTCCTTCTCCAACTCATTTTACAGGTGAGGAAACTGAGGCAAACAGGGTTAAGTGACTTGCCCAGTGTCACACAGCTAGCATCTGAGTATTTGCTCACTATTGTGTTCTTTCTCAATTCCTTCTCCTAGAAAGTTCCTTACATCTGTAGTCTTCTTATTCCTAACATATACTCTATCTCCTATGAAATGCTAATTCTTCCAAGAATTCCTTCTTGGTGACAGGAATAGAGTTAACAAATCTCTGTTTTTACTAAGCCTAGAGCACTATGGATGCTCAACACCATGTTAGTAGTGCTACTACATTTATGTGGCGCTTTAAAGTTTACAAAGTGTTTTACATATGTTATCATCATAATAACCCTTCAATGTATGTGCTATTACTATCCTCATTTTTTCATATTTAGAAACTGAGGCTAAAAGAGGTTAAGTATTTGCCCTGTATCACACAGCTAGTAAGCATCTGAGTCTGTATTGAAACTCAAGTCTTCCTGATTACAAGCCAAACACTTTATCCACTGCACCACCGATCTAGCTGCCTCTCGCATGTGCCAAAGAGCTAAGGAATCCCCGAGGTATTTAGATAAGATCTGTCAGCATCATGGGAGGTGGAAAAGGATGAGGGATTCTGAGTCTTAACTTCCTGTGCTGAAGCAGGAAAGCTTGGTAGGATGTGCAAAGATGGCAACTGTATCTTATAGGGAAAGCCAAGGAAAATGGCAATGAACCTGAAACCCACCATCACCTTCACCACTACCATTGGCCCCACTCACATAGTAACATAGTAGCACTCACAGGAACTTGAAGTGTCCATAGACTTTTCTGTCTGTGAAAAAAATCTCATAAAATTCATTACAATAATGCAAAAGTCCTTTTCCTCTCCCCATCAGACGGCCCCTGGCAAGAGCACCAGGGGCTATGTACGTATCCAGGAGTGCACTTCAATGCTGTCGTGCTGGTTGATCACAATTGCTTGGCAGCTATTTTTTAATTAAGGAGCCCCAGACCGAGAGGGAACAACTCAGGCTGAAAATAACCAATGAGGTGTTTTATTGACCTGGCTTCCCTAGCAGTGTGTCTGGAAAGCAAAGAGGCAACAACGTCATGGGGTCCACATCAGCAAGAGCCAGAGAGAGATGTGAGCCAGAATTGATCTCACAACAACCTAATCACAAATGCACATATTGCAGGGACCTTTCAGGGTCTGCTACAAGAAATGGGGACAGATATTTCTGTTCTGAAGAAATGCAGAATTATATCTGTGCCTAGCACATAATAAATACTTAATAAATGTCTACTGAATTGGAAAGATCATGTAATTTGTCTAAATTCATACAAAAAGTAATGAAAGATCTGGGAAATAATCCATAACTGTGAAATAATAATAATCAATAGCCATAATGATAATAATAGCTAGTATTTATATAATGGCTACTGTACTAGACATTTTACAAATATCATCTCATTTAATCCTCACAACAACCCTGGGAGGTAGGTGCTATTATAATCCACATTTTACAGTTGAGAAAACTGAGGCAAATAAAGGTTAAGTGACTTCTCCAAGGTCACACAGCTAGTAAGTGTCTGAGGTCAAATTTCAACTCATGTATTCCTGAAAGACTGGCTAGGCTTCCCCAAAGACAGTAATGGTATAATAAAAAGAGTACTGGATTTGGAGTCTAAGGATCTGGATTTGAATCTTGGTTCTACAACAATTCTACCTTAGGCAAATCACAATCTCTCTGGACCTCACCTGTGAACTGAGAAGACTGGACTAGACAAACCAAGGTCCCTTCTAGCTTCCAGATCCTATGATCTTAAGGTGTCTAGGAGCTGGGTTTCTATAGCTCTGCACTTACAAGTTTCCAAGACTGGCATCCATTTTATTCCTAAAGATCCTCAGAGAAGATGTTACCTCAAACTCCCTCAGAAACTACTCCTTCCTGGGTCCAACAGAGCTTTTAATTAAAATAAAAATCCTTTCTTTGTTCTAACTTATCTTTGCCATGCCAGTCTCAAATTATGCATTCACATGTACCACATGAGTCAATGCTTGGGTGCTGACTTGGGTGCTGACTTTTCTTTTCAAGAAAAGACATCAGCTACTGGTTGGATGTTCTGATGCACTCAGCATGAAATGAAGAGGGCTTGACCACACCTAGGACTCCCCCCAGAGACCAGATTTCTCGAGCTGAGGATCATCTTCAACACTTCCTCTGCATAGAAGACATGCCGTTAATAGTGTGGCTGCTCAGAAGCAACTCCAGAAGTCAAGTTACTCTGGGCTCTTCTTGGTATGGGGCAAAGTCCCATGGTATTGGAGTCAGGGGACTGGGGTTCAGACCCTAAGTCTGCCACTTTACTGCTTATGTGTCCTTGGCCAAGTCACTTCCTTTCTTGGTCCTCAGTTTCCTCATCTCTAAAATAGACCTCATCTCTAAAATAGACCTCCCTTCTAGTTCTAAATCTTGGAGTAGGTATTCTATGCTATATGATATGGGTTCTATGCAATCTGTTTAAAGAAATAATTTAAAACAAATAGTTGGGCATAATGGTGTAAGGCTTAAATGTCACCAAACATCATGGCAACCTGGTATAATGGACTGAATATTGGATTTGGAATAAGAGGGTCTGACTTTGAACCCTAGATCTGCTACTTAATAGCTCGAGCAAATCACTTAACATCTCTGGGCTTCAAGTTCTTCTTTTTTAAAAATGTGGCGTTGTATCAGACGATGCCTAGGTTCCTTCTTAGCTATAGTACTATGGTCCATCAGATATGGTTCTCCAAGGCTCAGTCTTGTCACCACGTGCTGGCAGGAAACCAAGTTTAACTAACATTCTGATCATTGGCCTGAGCCTCAAAGCTTCCAAACCTAATTCCTTCTTTCTCTCTGAATTTCAGAGAGTTTTATCACCCACACTTAACCAAGAAGGAGAAAGTGAGGTTCATAAAGAGTAACCATGCACACCAGCCTGAACACCACCCAACAGCTGAATGGAAGAGATCGAACAATGTCATCTCTTGGTCATAGGGGTCCTTTGGGAAACTTAGAGAAGGCTATCTGTCACCATTCCACCTTATTAGGCAAACATGCAACATAAAGATCATGAGTGGAAGAAGGGAGGAGCTTTAAGAGCAGGCTATATGTAAATGATAAGAATAGTAATAATGATCCTTTGCAAATGAAATGGAATCATACTTGGGGAGCACATAGCAGTTTTCAAAAGTGTTTTCAAATATTTTCTATTCCATTTGAGCCCAATAGGCTCTTGTGAGGCAGGCAGTTTTACATTATCCCCATTTTGCAAATAAAAAAACAAAACAAAACTGACACACTGAAGGAGTGAAGTAAGTGATTTGACAGAGGTTAATGCAAAAGCTAGGACCAGGTTCTTAACCGGCTTTTTTGCATCCTTTACCCCTTTGGCAACACTGGATGTTTCCCATGCCTGGAATTCTTTTTCTCCTCATCACTGTCTCCTGGCTTCCTTCAAGTCCCAACAACAATCTCACTTTCTGCAAGAAGCCCTTCCTGATCCTCCCAGATACTAATATCTTTCTTTTGAGATTATCTCAGCCTATCATCCTTCTAGATTTTATCTGCACATAATTGTTTGCACATTGTCTCACCCATACAACTGTGAGCTCCTTGAGAGCAGCGACTCGTTTTTTGCATTTTTTCTGCATCCCGAGCACTGAGCACAGTACCTAAGCACACAGTGGGCACTTAATAATTTTTGGTTGACTTAACAAATAATTGAAAGAAATGCTAAATTTCAATTAGAAATTGATGTAATACAATATAATTTTTTCCTACCATGGGCCCCAAGTTAAAAATCTACTTCCTGGGGAGCAGCTAGGTGGCACAGTAGATAAAGCACAAGCCCTGGAGTCAGGAGGACCTGAGTTCAAATCCAGCCTCAGACATATAATACTCACTAGCTGTGTAACTCTGGGCAAGTCACTTAACCCCAAATGCCTTGCTAAAAAAAAAAAAAAAAAAGAATCTACTTCTTGGGAGTTCATGGACTCCAGATTAAGAATCCCTGGACTATATGATCTCTAAGGTCCTTCTCAGTTCTGGATCCTACGACCCTAGGACTAGAATGACTGCATCTTCTTGTTCCATTTTCTAGTATTCTTTTTCACACCACCACACCACTAGTTGGTTGATCCTTTCCCAGTGTCTGGCAATGTCTCTGAATCATTGCATTGTATGAGGATGGATGGGTGCCCCAAAAGGCACATGACCCACTGAGATGAACATCCTGATTTGCCCTCTTCTAGTAATAGTGCTGGGGTTAAATAGATGGAGAATGCTGTCATTCAGTGCCTGAGCATCATAATGGGATCTTAAAGTGGTCTTGGTTTTTCCAAACACAGGCTGTTAAAAAAGAGACAACATCCCACCCCAAACCCAATCCCAATCCCGATCTCACCTGAATTCTTCTCCTGAGGACCCTCTCACACAGAACCTTGAGGGCCACACGTCGGCAGCCCCCCAGGCCTCCCGCCTCCCAAAGCAGCCTGTCCTGGGCTGTATCGTAGATCCTGTACTTTGTCATGTCCTCCTTCAGTGCCTTAAAGTCATAGCGGAGGTCGTGGCCTACCACCAGCTTGTCTCGGAGGAGTTCCAAGATCTAGACCAGGAGACATGAGACACATTCATCACCTTACACATCAGGCCCAAACTATGAAAGATCAAAGTCTCATTTCAAGCTCTTTAAGCAAAGGGGGAAAGACCACATGCTCTCCGATCACTGTAGGAGCCCCATTGGACAGGATATGACTCAAGGGAAAAAATCATGTGCCTGGTTATGGGGCATCTAAGCAGAATCAGACAGTCCATTATTTGAAAAATTATATACAACGCCACCAGCATGGCCACTCCCCTCCGTATTACTGTTTCCTCAATGTCTTGGGCCATCACCATGACACCTGTGATTTGACATCCACAAAACAATTCCTGAGTCAATGGAGAATGAAATTTCCTGATGTTCCAAAGCTATGTATCTGTATCACCCTCATTAGCTGCTGAGGTAGGAGTCTGTGCAATGTTGCATATACTGTTGGACACTTTTTATAGCCAAGGCTTCTCCCAGCACCTCTATGCTGCAAGTTCAGGTTTCATTGTGGGAAAGGGAGTGTGTAAGAGACACAGAGTCAGGGTGAGGCTATAACAGGAATGGACTAATATCAGCCTGTACTTAAGGACTCTTTAAATCAGGATCATGAGGAGGGTGTGGTCAGCTGGACTTTGCTGCAGTTAATAGTTGTCCCCACCCCCTTGTGCAAACCCAAGCCAAGTCCTTCACTTGTTTTCTACCCAAAGTCCACTTCTTGTCCCTAGCTGAAAAAAAAAATGTTGTTATACCAGAGGAAATTAAGTGATGAAACACCTATCACCCTCACTGATCTGGGAAGAGGCACTCTAGAGGTAATGCAATTGCCCCATTACCCCATTCATGCACTGTTGGACTGATGGCCACTAGAATCACTTCCTATTTCTTAGGAGCCCATTGCCTCAGCGCTATTTTCTGCTGCAGACCATGAACAAGTAGAACATAGTAGGAAAAGCACTGTATAATTTTGAAGGCTTGGGTTCAAATTCCAGCTCAATCATTTAAGAGTTGTGTGACTTTAAGCAAATCACCTAATCCCTCGGTGCCTCAATTTCCTAATCAACAAATGGGGATAATGATACTTGGATTTTCTATTTCATAGAGGTGTTGTGAGGTTAAAATGAAAAAATAAATATGAAAGCACTTCACAACTGCAAAATCCTTTATAAATGTTGGGCAGATAGGTGGTGCAGTGTATAGAGTGCCAAGCCTGGAGTCAGGAAGACTCATCTTTCTGAGTTCAATTCTAGCCTCAGTCACTTACTGACTATGACCCTACACAAGTCACTTAATCCTGTTTGCCTCAGTTCCTCATCTGTAAAATGAGCTGGAAAAAGGAAACGGCAAACCACTCCAGTATCTTTGCCAAGAAAACCCCAAATGGGATCATGAAGAGTCGAACACAATTGAAACAACTGAACAACAACAAAATATAAATGTCAGCTATTATATGCTACTGAGAGGCCAGGCTTGGAGTCAAGATGATCTAGATTCAAGTACTCCCTAGCTACACGACTGTGGGAAAGTCACTTATCCTCTTAGTATCTCCAACCAACTCTAATACAAAAAGGTACAGATGAATTGTTGATCTTCATTGGTGCAGGGAATTTCCATGGTAGGAGCTCCAATAAAATCATGGGAAAGGGAGATAAATGAATGGATAGGTAGATGATAAAGTTTCCATGGCAAGAATTCTGATAAAATCACAGGTTCAAGATAAATAAATAAATAGGTGGGTGGGTGAATGAATGAAAGAATGAATGGATAGATAGATAAGTAAATAAACAGGTAAAGTTTTCATGGCAGGAATTCTGGTAAAATCACAGGGATAGATAGATAGATAGATGAATGAATAGATAGATAAGTAAATAATAAGTTTCCATGGCAGGAATTCCAATAAAATCCCAGGTTCAAGATAAATAAATAAGTAGATGAATAAATGAATGAATGAATGAATGCATGAATAGATACATAGAAAAGTAAAAAAGTAAAGTTTCCATGGCAGAAATTCTAATAAAATCACAGGGTGGGGATAAATAAATATATAAATAGATAAGCAGATAAATAAAGAAAAAGATACATAGAAAGATAAGTAAGTAAATAAATAAGTAAAGTTTCCATGACAAGAGTTCTAATAAAATCACAGGTTCAGGATAAATAAATAGATTAATAGATAAATAAGTAAATAAATGGCTAGATGAATGAAAAGATAAATAGAAAGATAAGTAAAGTTTCCATAGCAGGAGTTCCAATAAAATCACAGGTTCAGAATGATTAAATAAATAAGCAAATAAATGAATGAATGAATGAATTAATAGATAGATGGGTGGATAGACAAACAAATAAATGGATGAATAATGAATAGATGAATGAATAAATGGATAAACGAATGGAGATAGATGGATGAATAGATAGATAACAGGTTGCTATGATTATGCCTCCTAGACCTGGACATCGGTTTCCCTGTCTCTAAAATGGAATGTAAATAAAGCCCTGAAGCTCATACCCAACAGAAGCCAGGTGATATGGTGAGGAAAGTGCTGAATTAGAATTCACAGGACCCAGATTCAAATCCCAAATTTGCCACCTATTACCTGTGCAACCTCAAGGAAGTCACTTGCTTGACCTTAGTTTCTTCATTTATAAAATGCTTGTGTGTGTGTATGTGTGTGTGTGTGTAGAATAGAGGGATTAAAATAGGAAGAATGATTACTCTGCTGGAGTCAGAAGACCTGGATTCACATTCCTACCTCTGACCCTTAGTACCTGTGTGACCTTAGGTAAGTCACTTAATTTTTCTGGGCCTCAGTTTCCTTATCTGTGAATTAAAAGGATTGGACTAGATAGTTTCTAAGGTGCCTTACACTTCTAAATCTACAATCCCATGATTAGATAAACTCTAAGGCACATTCTAGCTCTAAACTCATGATCATCTGAGTTCCCTTCTCATTCCAGATTCAACATACTCATATGTATACACAAATGCAAATATGATTCTAAATTCGAAAGAGAGTTTTGCCCCCTTTGATGTAAATAGGAGGAAATGAAAGTTGCACTTCATCTTGGGGGCTGGCTCAGCTTGGAAAATGAAACACTAGAAAACGAAAATATTTTAAAAGGAGAATTGTAAAAATACATCAATCTGATGCATGCAAGTGCCACTGGAGGGATCATCTTTCTTTCCATTTAGCTCGTCATGGAGACAACTGTTACATTCCTAGCTATTACAGCCTTCCCCAGCAAGGCTCACTATGGACATGGAGAAAGGGCACTATGCACTTGATTGAAAATTGAATTATGCTTGACAAGATGAGTGCCTGAGAGCCATGGGCAGCTGGGTGATTTGACACTTGGTTAATGTCATCAGCCAGCAGGAACACAATCATTCCTATTAAAAAGAAGTGAAGTCTTTAAAAAGATCCACCTCAAGCTCAGTCAATCCGTGCAAACTTTCACAAGTCCTTTTCTCATTGATTAATGTCAGAGCAACAATGCATCTGATGGCAGAAGCCTTTGGAGCTAGCCTGAAGAAAGCAGCAGGGAGGAGAGGGGAGGATTTTCTTCTCTAGGTTTGTTGAAATACTTCAATGTGTTCCTGCTGGAATGGATTTGGGGCCCTGATTGGTCTGAGTGGTCTCTGCTATTAACAACTAACAAAACAATACACTTGCTCTTTCAGGGGGTTTTTCTTTCAGAAAGGCTAGATCTACATCATTTCCAAAGACTTCAGAATTTATCCACTAATCAAATTAGGCCTCTCAGGCCCTCTTCTGGTCAAAGAGTCATTGAATGATAGGACTGAAAGGGACCTTAGAGATTATTTGGCTCAACCTGCTGTTTTTTTAAGAAGTTAAGTGATTTATTTATTCATCCCTTTGACAAGCATTTATCAAATGCCTACTATGTGCCAGGTACTGTGGCCCTAGAGATACAAAGACTAACATGTAAAAGGTCTTGCCTAGAACACACACTCTTTAGCTTATATTCTGGGGCAGAGGGGAAAGGAAGGAAGGAAACAAGCATTTATTTAGCAATGTGAAAAATGATTTTTCTTAGTAATCATTATCTTGAAGACTCAGAGCTTCTCCATTCCGCTTTCTTTCAAAATTCAGTCCTTCAGAAGGACATGAAGATGTAATCTAAATAGGTCTATTCCTGCTCATTGTGTTGCCCAGACAGGTCTGGGAGAACATTGATTTCTCCCCATGGTCAAGACAGGTGATATGGAAATTGATATCTCTTTGACCAAGATTAAGTGACCTAAATCACAGACCCCAAGACCCTCATTTTAATATAGCCCACTTCCCAGTGTGTTGACCAATCAGAGTTGATTGGCACCCCTTGGGAACACCTACTCTTTGAAGGGCTCGTAACTCTGTACCCCAATCTCTAAATTGAGCCAGTTCTGGACTGTAACTCCCATGCAATGCATGTCGCCAGCTAGAGAGAAATGAAAATGTGGACACAACCTAATTTGTTTGTCTCTTTTCTTAGAACAAAGTCTGGTATGGTTGACAGCACCTATTATGTGCCAGGCACTGTGCTAAGCACCTTACAGTTATTTTCTCATTTGATCTTCAGAACAACCCTGGGAAGTAGGTGCTACTAGGAACCCCATTTTATAGTTGGGGAAATCGAGGCAGAAAGAGCTGAAGTCACTTGCCCAAGGTCTCACAGCTAGTAAGTACCTTGAGATTGAATTTGAACTCAGGTCTTTCTGACTCCGGGTGCGGCCCTCTATTCTATTTGCTACCTAGCTAGAGGGCGGAGGGAGAGCAGGTTCTGGGGAAGGAGAAGGGACACATCAACAAAGAACACCAGCAAGTGGGGTTAAAATCACTGTTAGTGACAGAGCCAGGACCATGTCTCCGGGTTCCCAACCTCTAGGAGTCTAATGCCTTTTTAACCATCCCAAGGCTGACTAGCCAGACTGAAGCCAACCCTCCCGCCGGGCCAACCTGGTGCTATTGGATCCCCTTGGGGTTAGGGCTTGTTTCATTCTTTGTACTTTTTCTTGCTTTGTCTTACTAGGGCCATTTCCTGTATTTGTTCTGCCTGTTGGCTGCCCTTCCTTTTCCCTTTTGCTGACCGCTGTCTCACTGTTTCTTAGCTTCCCAATTATGTGCCCAGGCTGGAAGAAGCCAGGAATCTCCCCAAGTCTACCTTTGCTTTAGTTCGATGCCAAAATGAGTTTGGAATGATCAGATTCTAAGAATAGAAGGGACCCTCAAGGCATCCTCTGGCAGGAATCCTCTCTCCAGCTGGCTGCCCCTATGCCTGGAAAGCTCTCCCTCCCTATCTCTGCCTCTTGGCTTCCCTGTCTTGCCTCAAGTCCCAGCTAAAATCCCACATTCTACAGGAAGCCTTTCTTGATCCTCCTTGATTCTAATACCCCCTCTTTTGATTATCTCCAGTTTGTCTTGCTGGTACAGAGTTGTTTGCACATTGTCTCTCCCATTAGAATGGGAGCTCCTTGAGAGCAGGGACTTTTTGCCTCTTTTTTTTTTTTTTGGTATGTCCAATGTCTAGCACAGTGCCTGGCACAAAGTAGGTGCCCAATAAATTGACTGATTGACAAGTAGCCATCCAGATTCCATTGGAATACTTCCAGTGAGGGGGAACCCATTGTGATACTTTGATTAACCATGATTTCCTTATCCTCTCCCAAACCTCACTAAACAGAAAACCAAGAGCTGAACTACCTTGGCTTCATCCAGATCATTGGTCCTGAGGACAATCATGGGAAATGAGTGACTGGCCAGTACAAAACTTTCATTTCAGTGAGATATGGAAACAAATTTGCAATAGAAGAATATGATCTGTAATGTCCCAGCAGGTTAAAGATAGTGTTCAGAGGAGAACCTTGATGTCCGTATAATTGTTCTAAAATATAGACAGGTCCTCTGCTGTCCCACTAAGCCCCTATTCCTGTATGAGAATCATATGGGGGAAGGCTCCTTAGGCCTGCTGTAGAATTCTAATATTTACCTCCTACTATCTATAATATGAGAGGCAGAAGGCTTGGTTGATTCATATCTAAAGGAGACGCCAACCTCTGGCCACAAATGGCATCCTGTGTTTCCTAATGGATCCCCACCCCCTCACCAATTCACTCTTCCAGCCCTGCCCCAAGGCTGTGAGGACATGCACACAGAAAGTTGTCTGATAAGAATGCCAGAGTATCATGACAATAGCAGTCCTATCAGGCACTGTCACGTTGTAATGGGAAGTGCTTTAGATTGAGAACTAGGAAAAAGACTTAGTTGCAAATCTGGCAGTCACTGGCTGTACAACAAAACGCAAGCCACTTTATTTCTTTGTGCCCCAATTTACTCATCTGCAAACTTCAAGAACTGTGATTACTAAGGTCCTCTCTAGGTCTGGGAAGTCACAGGGATTGCTCTCTAGTTCCCATATAGCTAGGACTTTCTCCACTGCTGTGGGAACTCACCAACCAGCTGTGCTTGGTGACTTTCTAGTGATCCATCATTAGTTTCCAACTACAGTGTTGCTGTCCATAAATCCCATTTACCAAAACCATGGAACAAGAGATGTTTTTCAGCTGCCCAGTCTCCCACCAGTCTGGTCCCCTCACTTACCTCTTCCCTGGCACTTGCGAAAGGTATGGCTGTCAGCATGTGCTCAGGTTTTATCCCACTTATGTGGGAACGATAGTCTGTGATCACCCCTTCTGGCTTGATGTATTTGTCATACACCACTGAGCCATGATAGTCCACGAGACTGCACCGGGCCAGACCACTTTCCCGAAGAGGTCCCACTCCTACCATTTCACAGTCCATGGCGATGATCTGGTCCTCCCTGGTATGGTCCCCCATGGTCAGCAGGCACTCAGATGCTCTAAGAAGGGAGATCGTGGAACAGTGACTGGAGATTCTTTGGCTGATTAAACCATCATTAGAGTTCAGTGGTGCCTGGACTTATTCAGGGGAACTGGCTCTGAACTAAGCTCTATGAAGCTTAGCAGTCAGGTTAAATAGTCTCTGCCCTTTGTCACAAATGCCACCTGGCAACAGTAGGAGTTGGCACCCTGACAAACCAACCGGTTTCCTTACACTAAGCATGAGGGGGGCAGAGGAGAAGAGAGAAGATGGAGAAGAGAGGGAGAGGGAGAGAAAGAGAGGGAGGGAGAGGGAGAGAAAGAGAGGGAGGGAGAGAGAAAGAAGATCCTGGGCCCTCCCCAACCAGCTAGACAAAATCAGGAACAGATACTGGCTGGCCTCCATCTCAGGTGATATCAACACAAGTTAAGTTTAGCCACAAACAACAAACTTCTTCGTGGAGACCCAAATCAATGTGCTCTCACCCTCTATCTTTTCAGACAGGACCCCACTCAGCCAGCTACCAAAAGTGCTGTCAGCCCTCAAAATAACTTACTACTGGCTCTCCCTCTACTTTTTAGCTTCTGCAGCTGGTATCACAAATGACTCATCTCTGACCGTGGACCTAGGAACCCTGAAATCTTAGTTTCAATTTCCTTGTAGTGATCACGTGGATTCAGAGGAGCCTGGGGAACCTCATTTAAGTTTCTGTATCGATTCTTTCTTGATAATTGCGTTTCTTCACAGGGCACTTGGCTGTGCTGTTCTCCAGTTTCCCATTTGTCCACTCGCCCCCCCTCCACCAAAACAAACAGGAAAGTCCTCAGCTCTGTCATCCTGAATGAGTCATCTGAATTGACTGATTCTATTGCAACATCTTCCTTTCTTCTATCAGTCTCCTCCTCCCTGAATCAGCCCTCTAGAAAACATGTATTAAGGTTTGGAGCCTAGAGAATACCCCACAATGTCAGAGTACTCTTGCCAGTCTGATACCATGGGGAGAAGAGTAAGGGAAATTTGTTTCGTTAAAGTAAAGTAAGTGGATCCCCATGGCTATTGATTTAGGATCAGGAGGAGGAAAAGACATCAGAATGGTATATAACAGAACATCGAGTCAGAGGAGGCACGGTTCAAATGCTGGATCTGCTTCACCTGGTGACCATGCACAAATCACTTACTTAATCTCAGTTTTCTCCACTGTAAAATTCTGAGGTTGGAGTAGACCTCTAAGGTCCCTTCCTGCTTTGATTCCTATGGGCTTAAGGGAAGGAGACCCATCCTGTGATCCATCCAGAGAAGGTGCGGTAGGGTCAAGGGACAGGGAAAGGGATCCAATCAGCAGATAACATAGTGGGACCACCTGCGTGCAAACCCCTGTGGGATTGACACGGTTTGGGGTATACGGCTAAGTTGTCTGGAAAGAATTCACAGACTCAAGCAGTCTTCCAGTCAGGTGGCAAAAAGTTTATCATAACACTAACAAAGGCAGGCAGAGCTCCTTTGGGGAACTCACAAACTAACAGGAGTGATGCCAAGGCTTATATAGAAAAGGTACAGTGACTTGTGGGGCAAGTATGCTACTTAGGTGGTGAACATACAGTTTCTGTACCTTGGGGCACAAGTGTCATTCACTGCTGGCATGGCCTGGGTCTGTATGTCTGTATGCCTAAATCTGTAACAAGATAGCCTTCAGAGTTGACATCTATACAGTAACTGTGGGAATCAGTACATGATAGTTCTGTTGGTACAAGATAGTCTTGTTCATACAAGGGAAATTCTATAGAGGTCAGCTTGTTCTTGTAACAGGGAGAGAGAGTTTGCCTCATTAGGCCCACTCATGAGTTATTGCCAGAGATAGGGTCTTTGAGCTCGGGAGAGATATGGGCTAGAGCTGGGGTCCAAGCATCCCATCAGGATGAAACAGAAACAAGCCCTTACCTTCAAAGAGGGTAAGTGTAAGGGCAGAGAATAAGCATTTATATAGGCACCCTACTATGTGCCAGGCACTGTTATGTGCTTTTTACAAATATCTCATTTGGTCCTCACAACAACCCTATGAGGTAGGTACTATCATTTTCTCCAATTTTCGATTGAGGAAGCTGAGGCAAATACAGGTTAAGTAACTTGTCCAGGGTCACACAGCTAGTAAGTAAGTGTCTAAGACCATATTCAAACACAATTCTTCCTGACTCCAGACCCAGCACTCCATCCACTGTAGCCCAGCTGCCACCAGAGCTTGTCATGCCATTAGAGAGATGCAATATAAACACTATAGAAAAATCTGAGATCCTCAATTAGCACTGCCATGAGTAGGTTATTACTACCAAATAATTTTGGGGAGTGGGGGATAGCCTTCACCAAGAACCAATACATACTCCTTTTATGGGAAGCATTTGTATACATGGGGAAGATAAAATTGAATGAAGGATGTTAAGGAGGCTGAAGGAACAGATGTGTCTTTTAGCCACAAGAAACAGACCGGCAATAGCTGGTATTTCTCCCTTACATGAGATGATACCCACAGCTCCAAGTTGTGGTCAACAGAAATGTTGTTTGTTTGTCACAGTGTAATAGGTATTAACAGTATGAATATTATTAACACATAGCAGGTGCTTTAAGGTTTACTATGTGATTCCCTCACAACAGCCAAAGGGGGTAGCTAACGCAGTTTTTGCTACTCCTATTTTATAGATGAGGAAACTGAGGCTCAGACAGATAAAATAACATTCTGCTACTCTCCATTACTGTAATTCAGTCAAGAAAGGGAATATTGTGAAGGGAATTTAATTCTCAATTAAACATGAAGCAGCTCCTGGGTGTAGAGCTAGGTGCTGGATGGATCTGGTTGGTAAATCTATGGGCTTGCAATGTACTAAATGCTTAATACGTACATTTCACCATTGCTGTGCTTGTAACATTCACATATCTATTTAACATGGTCAAGGGGAGATTTCCATCTAGGCATCTTCTACCTCTTGACCTCGGGTGGGCAGGGTCTACCATCATGTGAGTTTGCTCAGCTGACTGCCCAGGGTTGTTCTAATAAGAATCAAATAAGCAAACAAGTAAGCATTTATTAGGCATCTGAGTTAGGTGCTGGGGATACAGATACAAAGGTGAGATGGTCCTCACCCAGCACCTGGCACACAGGAAGCGCTTCTAAAGTCATTGCTGACTGACTGAAGAAGCTTACATTTTACTAAGGACATGCTCTAATCGAAGGATGAACTTTGTCAAGCACAAATGAGATGTGAGTCCAAGGATCAAGTGAATGTTGGCCACAACTTTTAATACCATAAAAATTGCAGCTTCACAGCAGCTGTGAGACAGGTAAACAAGTAGTCACTGGCCTGGGTAAGGCCTGTCCTTAAATCTTCACTGACCCAAAGTCTATTAAATCTGCAGAGAAGCAGGCTGAAGGCTGACCTAGCCAGGCAGCAATTGTGGGAGCCGATGCCTCTCTGAAGCGGGAATGTCAACCCAGGCACAAGATCCCCTCCCCTACAAAGTTACGTACATACTATCCTTTCAAAGGCAGAGAAGATATGCTTGTTCTATGACAACCCCTCTTTAAAAGAATCCTAACTATCCAATAGGTGAATCCTTGGCTCAACTTTGGAGTTAGGAATGTCTGGGTTTTAAATATCATCTGTCCCTTACAAGCTGTGTGACCATAACAATAGCTGACATTTATATAGCACTTTTAAAGCTTGCAAAGCATTTTACATATGCTGTATTAATTGTGCCTCACAATAACCCTGAGAGGTAGGTACTTGTTAGACAGGTAAACACACCGACTACGCCATTTCTCAGGTAGGAGACACAGGAGGGCTTCTAACACCTCTCTAACTAGCAGGTTCACTTTTGATCTGGTCAGACAGAAGACAGGAATAGAGTCATAATAAGGGGTTAAATAAGCTTACTTTATTCTAGTCTAGTCTTCTCAAAGGGAATTTGCTGATAACAGGAGCACCAACTCCTACATTACTTAACAACCTTTCTTGCAGGGGCCAGCATGAAGGGGCGGCAACTACCCCTCCTCTCTATGGGGTCAATTGAGACAGGCACAACTTGTGCACTCCACTAAATCCCCTCAAGCCTCAATGGGGGCCGGTTGAGGCAAACACACAAATTCCCCCTCCCAAGCCTTGATGGGGGCCGATCAAGGTACGTGCAGCATTCCAGTTCGTGCATTCACCCCTAAGGGAGTCCCTAGTCATTGACCAGTGCCCACTTGCTTTATAGGGCAATAGACAAAGAAGGTATATTGGCACTAACAGCCTCACAATTTTACATTGCTTCATCCCTATATCTACTGTGACTGTGCAGTAGAAACTTTTTAACCATGATCATGAGAACTCATATCTAACACCTGGAAACTAGAGATTGTTATGGCTATAGATCCTGGGAAAGAAGACTCTAAGAAAGAATAACAAAAATCTACCTTACACACACTAAAATTCATCTTACTTACAGTACTATTATTATTTTTATTATTTCCTTTTTACAGATGAGAAAATTGAGGCTGAAAGTTTAGATGACTTGCCTGGAGTCACACAGCTACTAAAATGTCTGAGGAAGGATTCAAATTCAGGTCTTCTGAACTGTGCTTTATCTTCTATGCTCTATCTACCACACCACTAAGCTGCCTCTGACTGTGAAGAATCCACCTAACCTCTGGGTGACTTGAAGACCCTACATCAAGAAGCCTTTATTAAGCACCTACTATGTGCCAGGCACCATGCTAAGTCGGGGGTTTTTATCTTTTTTGCATGTCATGGACACCTTTGGCAGTCTGAAGCCTAGGGATTCCTCAGAATAGTTTTAAATACACAAAATAAAATATGTAGGATTGCAAAGTAAACCAATGACACTAAAAAAGTGTAACTTTTTTTCTTATCTTAGTTTAATTCCCCTGAAATCTGTCTTTGAACAAACCTCTCCAGGGTTTGGGCCCTAGGGTAAGAACCTCTGCTCTAAGTTCTAAGTGAGCTGGATAGTACAGGGAGTCCCCACATCAAATGACATCACAGCACTCTGACCTACCTCAATTTCCCAATAATTTTGGAATTCAGTGATGAATCTGCTTTAGTTATCTGAAGAGATAGATATTTTTGACACAAAATTTACATTAAGACCTGTCCCTGCCTTGATGAAGTATATAATTCCCAGGAGTTCTTAACTCCAGATAGGAGGAGGAAGGTCCATGGATATGAATAGGGAAATATAACATTTGAATTATTAAAAATTATTCTGAGAAGGGATCCATAGGCTTCACCAGACTGCCAAAGGGGCTCAGGACACCAAAAAGATTAAGCCCTCTTATAGACCATGATTCAGAAGATTTAGCTTGCATGAAATGAGAGAATGGCATCATATACAAATAGTTCTCACTTTATATAAATTTGCATTATGCAAATTCAATTTTATATAACGAATTCTGAAAGAAATCCATATACCAAAAAAACCAAACCAAACCAAACCACCTATGTTAACTTTACTGTATAGTATTGTGCTCTTCGACCCTTAGCTTGGCACTCCTTGGTCTCCCAACCACCAACAAAAAACTCCTCCAAGTGAAAGCAGAATGGACTTGGGGAGAGATGGTGGTAAAATCTGATTAGAGGCTTGGTGCTGAGAGACCTTAGCCCCACTCCACCCACCCATGTCTTGGACCCCCTCAGTCTCCATATATCAGTGTTAGCTACTGTGTCTGTCCCTCACCCCATGTGTCACCTGTCCTCTCCCATCTGTGTCTGTGTCCAGCCCCCATGTACCCGGCCTGGCCTCTGTATTCTTCCTCTTCTTGTTTCTCTGTCCTTGGATGCCATGTGTCCTTGGCCGGCCCCCTCCTTCCTTTCCTTCCCCATATCCACCTGCAAATTCTCAATACGTAAAAATCACTTTACATAGAGGTCTGGAGACCGGTTCACTTTGTAATATGAGAACTGTATGCATGTGCTAGAGGGCTTCCCACAGTGAATGGTATCCTGGCTGCAGGCCAAACCCTTAACCCCAGCCAACTGTCCCACAACCTTAAGAGAAACTGGAAGAAAAATGTGGATAGTACAACACAAAGCCGCTCCTCAAGATTCAATTGAACAGACATCAAAAAACCAAACTCAAAGCCTACTGATGGTAGGCTGGGAGAGCCTCCTTCTAAAGATAGGTGTTTCTTGGAGTTAACAGAAAAAACAGGACTGCCAACCCATCCTCTATAAGGGGCCTATTGCTCAAAATCCTGCCTACCATATGACCCTACAGATGAAGAATTGGAAAATAAAAGTTGGAAGATAAAAAGTCAAGAACACATATACACGCAGAACCAGGTCTTCTCAAATGAGATTTATTCAGTCAATGGCAACAGTTTACAATGGGTGGTTTCAAATACAATCTAAATCTATCCCAGTCCCTCCCTTTTCCCACCAACCACAGTAAGGGAGGTCAGATTGTAGGTATTCCTCCCTATTTTGTCCACTCAGCAATCTTTCCACCTACTTTCTGCTTCTCCTTCTGCTTCTTGGTCAGTCCTGGGCACAGTGACTCCATTGCTACAATTCCCAGCCAAACTGGGAGGTTGAAACCTCAGAGGAAACCAGCCCCAGAAAGCCACAGGATCTGCTGCTCCAGTATTAAATGCTAGAAAGTTGGTCTTCACAGATCAGATCAGGCCTGCTGTAAACTCATGGAAGACTAGCATTCTGCAATTTAAGTGAAGAAACTCCTCAGGAAAGGCAAACAACTACGATGTCATCTAAAATGTATATAGTCAACCCTCAATGATCTTCAATAATGGATGGAGGCAGTGACAAAAATAAAGTTAGTAAGAGCAGATAACCCCAAAGCAATCGATATCTGGCTTTGGAATGCATCATGTGATTTTATTCTTAGCTGCATCTGTAAGTCATCCTTCAATCAAGATCATGTGAAAATCCATTTCATTCCCTGGAAACACCAGCTGTGCATGAAGGAGAAAGAAATCCCAGACTGTCAGTAGAGATGCTGGGAAAAGGAAGTAAGTGAGAGTTGACTGTAGCAACTATCATCAGCCAATCAATCAACCAGCATTTATTAAGTGCCTACTATGTGCCAAGCACTGTTGAGCCCAGGGATACAAAAACAGAGAATGTCCCCAGTTGCCACAAAGATCCCACATCTAGGAAACTTTTTATACTCTCTCCCAAATTAATGTAAATGACATGCTGGTTGGCCAGGGGCAGGGGATGAGGGACTGGGGGTCTCGGGCAACTAAGAGGGTCATATTGGATATCTGGAGTCTTCCAACAGCCCAGGCCAATGGTCTACCAATTAATCATGAGGCACAAGTGCTCCAGTGCCTGAATTGAGAATAAATAAGCCCACCAGGTAGAGGTACCACATCTGAGTCTGGGTCACAAATAGCACCTGCTGGATATTCAAGTCTAAACAATAAATAGTCTGTCTAAGCCAAGGGTTCTCAACCCTTTTCTTAGAAACCCTAGCATGCTCAGACATTTCTAAAAAGTGCTTTCCTGAAGAAGAGTAAAATGGCACTTGAGGGAGCTAAACAATACAAAAGGAAGGAGCTGGAAGAGTTAAAGGGAGGGATGTAAGAGGAAGAAGAGGCAAGAAGAAATAAGGAGAAAATACTCTGTAAAATGAAGTGAATCGCTGACAATCAATGTACATAAAAACTAACAATGAATGTAAATCAAAGGGGATGATCTTTGCATAGGACTAAGTACTCCTCAAATAACCCCAACTAGAGAGTAAATCCTTGTTCTCCAATCAATAGGTTTTATAATCAACTGGCTGGATGATCTTGGTCAAGTCAATGTCACTCCAGGTTTCACTTTCCTCATCTATATAGTGAGATGCTCTGATGCTTTCTGGAGTGGAAAGGATGGCATTTTTTATTCAGGGAACCCCAAATGTACAAATATGCTACTGTTCTTGGGGTCCCCTTACAAAAGTTCAGCACTAGTGATGGAGAAGAATTCCTGATTCAAGCCAATGGAAATGTGTCAATTAGGAACACTGAAACTGAACAGCTTTCTCCTTCTCCTTCTGCCAACACACCAGCAAAGAGAGGTGTTCTGAGCAGCCACTGTAAATTCCAGGGAATGGAGGCAAAGAAAGCATGTAAACAAAGTCATCAGATCCTGTGAATTATCACAGGATAATAGAAGGTTTCAGAGCTGGACTGGTCCTTAAGACATCAGTACAATCCTCTCTCTTTACAGAGAAGGAAACCAAGGCAAAGAGAGGTAAAAGACTTAACCAAGGTCACAGAGAGTAAGCCGCAGAAATGAGATTCCAACCAATTCTGAGTCCAAAGCTAGTCCTCTTTCTATTATATGACACCCAGCCACCAATGGGTGCTTCTGGGTGAATTACTTTCCCCCTGCAGAACCCATACTGGTCCTACAGGAAAGATGGTAGGAATTTAGAATGACTGAGGTTCAAACCTCTTTTCTTTGCCCTATTATTGTAAGCTTGGTTGGATTAGAGAATTTCATACTTTTAGTCTGTTACAGCACTTTAACCTAAGCTCAAAACTCAAGTTGTAATTCCTCTATTCCCTGAGATCACAGATCAGAGTTGGAAGGAACCTTAGAGGTCATCTAGTCCAACCCCCTCATTTTACAGATGAGGAAACTGAGGCTCAGATTATTTAAATGACTTGCCCAAGGTCACAGAGGTAGGTGACCGAGACAGGGTGTAAACTCAGATCCACTGACTTTAAATCCAGTGCTCTCTCCCTATATTTGTAGCCTGTCCCTGAATAACAATAAGTACCCCCATTTTATAGATGAGGATAAGGGTATAAAAACACACCCTGTGCACAGTATATCCTTTAAAACCAGGGTAACTTGGGAATAGGCAGGTGGTGCAGGGACACTGTGCATCACTTGTTCAAGAAGAATACACAAAGTCTTGGAATGTCTTGTGAATTTCACAAAACATTGCTCACTGAGACATCAAAAGATGTAACCTCCTCACCAGCCTTCCTCCCCAGAAAGGTTGGTTTGATAATTTACCACTAATATGTCTTCAAAGTAATTGTGGCTGAAATCAGAAGAAACTGGCTCCTAGAATGCCCAGAGAGGATGGGGGGAAAAGGTTCCCAATCCACATCACCCTAGAAGCCAAAGCATTCTCATGCTCCCACCTGACAAAGGAGGCTAAATTGGAGATCTCTTTGGATCAACTCATTGCATGAATGGGCCCCATGGCCACAGTACCAGAAGAGCCATTCTTCCCACACACATTACAAGGCCAATTTTACCGGGCTACCCACAGAAGCTCATACTCTTCCCACCCTGGGAGCCCTTCGATCATTTACAGCCTTCAGTCTGATCTTCTAGCCAGAACTGGTCTTCCATGTAGTGCTCGGTGTCTGTGCCACTGTCCTGAAGGCTGTCCTCACAGTTTGAAGGGTGGCTGCTGGCCTCCTGCAGCTCCCACTGCACCTCGACCAACCGATAGAGCTCCATGGCAGTTGTGGCATCTTCCACAGATGAATGCCCATACTGGCCAACCTGCAAAGGAAAAAGGAATCAATGTCCTTGGGGCCTGAGGGTGATTGTGAGCTCCCAGAGAACAGGGATATAGGCTGCACTGGTGGATTCTGTCCAGTGCCACAAAGCGGCAGACATTTTAACAAGTAATTCCTGATGAGGATGAACTAATTTCTATATCTTTTTTAGGGGAGCTAAGATAGGCTAAATACAGACAGAAGTAGAACAGGAGCTGAGATTGTAAGATGGGAAGCTTGGGGAGACTGGGGGCTAAGAAAGAACTTCCAAGGAAAAAATCAATAAAGGAAGGATCTGGTATCTTTCAGGACACAAATAAAGGGGGAGTTAGGGAAAGGGGAAGGAGGTCACAGAATGCAGTGGCATTCAGGCCTGTGAAAAAAGGAGATCATTGCCTAAAGTATTCCGGGCTTGAGTTGGAAAAAAAGGAATTACAATGAAAAGTAAACCCACAAATAGTAATGGACAGAGTGATGATTTGAAGGTAGAAGGCTGGGGTTCAAATCCTGATTCTCCCACTACTGCTTATTTATGACTTGTCATTTCGTATCTCTAGGTCTTAGTTTCTTCATCTATAAAACGAGGCTGTAAACTCAGGATCCTATGATCAGAACGAACACACACACACACACAGAGATTTCTTCAGGTTAGAGCCACGCTTGGAGCTACCACTCCACCTGAGATGCCACAGGCTTTGACTCCCACTCCACAATGTGAACTCTCTTCATCTGTCTGACAATTCCTTCCTCCCCCTCAACCCTCACACACCTGTATTCTTTTGTTCAGCAGTTGCAGGGCCAGGTTCTTGAGAGAAGAGGATTGGGCTCGGACAGGGAAACCCGTTTGGTTGATTAGGCTAGGGACAGAAAGAGTGTCCCGAGTTTGTCTCCGGGGATGGAAGTATTTGAGGGCCCGGAAGTCATTATGGAGTGCGTGGCCCACCACCAACTTGCCCTTCAGCAGCTTAAGGATCTAAGAAACGTGAAATGCATCAGTGAGATTCTTATCATTTTACCAATGAATACCTGCTACAAGTGGACAGCATCTTTCAAGGGTTCAAGAAGCACCCCAGGGAGAGAAGAAGCTTCTAATAGGATCAAGGACCACCCTCATTCCTAAGGGCCCAGGCCCACATCTGCTTCAACCATTCCAGTGCAAGAGTAAAGTCCGATACCTCTTTTATGAAGAGGGTTCCATCCACTGACCTCTCAGGGCTCTTATTGGCAATACCACATTTTGCAATTTGGTCATATTCTATATCTCTTTTATTGATTTTTTTTCCTTCCCCAACCTCATACGTGGCACAGTAGATATAGAATGGAGTCTGGAAGACACGAGTTCAAATCCAACCTCAGACACCTACCTAGCTATGTGACTCTGGTCAAGTCATAACCTCATTCAGCCTCAGTTTCCTCATCTATAAAATGGGAATAATAATACCAACCTACCTCACAGGGTTACTTTATGACTAAATGAAACAGCATATGTAAACTATTTGGCAAACCTTAAAGCACTGTGTAAATGCCAGTTAGTAATAGGAGTATCTTGTATTGTAGCCTGTTTTGCATGTATACAAATCTTGTCTCCCTAATTAGATTACAAATTACTTGAGGGCCCTGTCCTTTATCTCTTCTCTATCTTCCATAGTATCTGGCATGATGCTAGTCGAAAAACATTGACTTGCTTTCTTCTGATAACTGTCTTTTCCTTCTTATTCCCCCCTGGTCCTAATTCCCTAGCTTTTGAGAATAGGCAATATCTCCACTCCTATCTGGCCTAACCTGTCTTCTTCCAAAGGATCTCTTTCTAGGACAACTTCCTCAGGTGGAATGAGGATTCTTCACCACCCTGCACTCATTAACCCATCAAAAGCCACTGACTGAGCCACATGCGGCCTCTAGAGGCTACAGGTTCTCCATCCCTAGATTGAACACTCCATACTCAACAGTGTGCAAGAAGGTGTTATACTGGACCTATGATTTCACTGAACTCCCAGAAGAGGAAGTAGCCTCTTCCAACACAAGTTGGCCCTTCTCTGCAACTTCTAGTCTTGAAGAGCTGCATAGATATTTGGGAGGCTGAGTGATCTGCCCACAGTTACAGCCAGTATGGGTCAGGTGTAATACTAGGTTTTCCTGGCTTTGAGGCCAGCTCTCTCTGCACTATGTGACACTGTCAGCCTCTATTGTTGGGTATATACAGATACAAGATTCTAAGGTCATTTCTTGCCCTAAGGGAACTTAAAAGCTAGCTGAGGAGACAAGACTATCCTTCACATGATGGAACCAATTCAGCTGTCAGAAACCATACTCTTAGTCCCAGGCTCAAGTCACCTGTGGCAGGGGGAATCAGGTTCTGCTATTAGTTATTAGAAATGGGGCCAGATGAAGACTCCATGAGCCTCCCTGTTCTGTTTTTTCAATCTTATTTTGTCCTTAACTTGTAAGTTGCCCCAAATCCTGTTTAGGAGGAAGGTATGAATCTTTAAGTCAACAGGGGTCCCCCAATATTTAGCAGCACATCAGTAGAGCTTTCCTAGCCATGCCCATACCTCCTTTTGTGCCACTCTGAAGGGGATAGCATTCTGCATATGCTGTCGGGTGATGCCACTCCAGCGGGTTCGATAATCCACAATGGGTGTCTCGGGCCGGATGTATTTGTCATATAGAACGTCTCCGTGGTAACTCACCACTGAGCATCGGGCCAGCTCACTCACTCGCCCACCAGGGCCAGTACCCACCATCTCACAGTCAATGGCCACACACTTGCTGGGCATAGCATGGCCAGACGCACTGCCCTTGCTGGGTTCAATCTTCTGAATCAGTTTTGTTCTGGGTTGGGTATCAGGTGATCTGAGTATAGCCTGATGTGTACTACACCTGGTGGCCTCTGTGTCCTCCAGAACCTCTGGTCTGGCCAACTGGAGGGTGCCCTCTGACTCCTGAGGCGTATTCAGCACACCTCGCTTCTCTAGAAAGGCCTTGTGTACCATGAACCGCTGGTGCCGCCGGCTCCGCCTCTTGTGCCACCACCAAGGTGTGTCCTTACTACCGCAGGCGGTAAAAGGTGTGCTTGAGCACTGAAAGTACTCGGAGCTCTCTTTTGTTGCCATCCCTGCAAGCTCATTGAGGGGAACGTAGGTGGCCATCTCTCTACCAGGCTGTGACCCACTACTGCTCAGCACCCTAAGAAACAGACAAGGAACAGAGAAGTCAAGTCAGAGTAATCATCAGAGCTCATTAGATCACTAGAGCTGGAAGGGACCATGGAAAAGATTTCATCCACCCCTTCCCAAACATTCCATAGATACATCAGCTGAAACCCAGAACGTAAACTGCCTTGTGATAAGATAAACTTACTAGAGGGTCACAGGTATAGTAAATGTCAAAGTCAAGATTGGAGCCTAGATCTCCAGACTTAAATCAGATAGTAGTGAATGGTTTTTCCCCAAGTACAATAGGAATCAGCTGTATGGCTGATCCTTTAGATACGTACCCTTGAGTTTTACTTGAGTTTACTTGCTTGCCAACTCCTCCCCTTCGTTGTTACTAAACAAACCCTACATATAACTTACTCATGGATGCAAGCTGGTTAAATCAGACCCTGTCAGTGACAGGAGAAATGCACATAGACAGAAACAGCTAGAATGATTGAAAAATTCACTAGTGCAGACCCAGACAGCAAAAGAATTCTAGTAATCCATGAATAAATGAATGAAAAAGCATTTATTATGTGCCTGTACACAGCATACTAAGCTCTGGGGCTACAAATAAAAAAAAGACAGTCTCTTCCATCAAGGAGTTTAAATTCTAACAGGAGAAAACACAAATAGGGGAGTGATGGCCAGGGATACGGACAGATGAAGAGAGAATTCACATTGTGGAGTGTGAGCCAAAGCCTGTGGCATCTCAGGTGGGGTGGAAGCTACAGACAGGCATTCAATTTTGGAAAAGTATAGATATAATGAGTTGAGCTATATGAACACACCCTCTTTCCAAAAGGCACTGTTTATCTGATTATGGATTGAGAACTGGAAACAGAGAAGAGGGGTCATGAGAGGGAGAGTAGACCAGGCAGCAAGATAACTGCCAAGAAGAGGAAACATGGTCTGGGGGCTATCAGAAATAGTCAGCCAGGTAAGGCACTCACCAATCAAGGACAGATGGAGCCCCAAGCCAAGGTTTTTACTCAAGACTGGTGTTCAAAAGTATCTAGGACCTCCTTATCCTAAACTGATCCACTTACAAAAGGTTCCAGCAACCCTACCAGGATTGGGCCATTGAGTCTACAGTCTGTTTACAGACTTCCTGGGTTATGGATATGAGTACTGCTTTGCTTTCCCACACCCAGTCCCATGACTGTGACTCAAGGCTGCTTAGTGAGACAGCAGCTTGTCTCCTAGAATCATTTGGTGGGAATTTCCCCCAAAGGTTTACATGCTATGAATAGTCCCTGTACTTAGACTAGAGGTGAGTGTGTCAGTATGTCTACTCCCTGTCATCTAGAAGCAGACCAACATACTCACTTTTATAAATTTTTAATCCTCATTGGTTTATACTGCCTCTATACCATCTCTAGATCCTATGGATCTCTTGTTTATAAGCAGTGGTCAGAATTCACTTCTTCTAATGATTTCTTCTCTAATTAAATCAATCTATATCACAACATTGTCATTATACTGCAATCCATATTTTTGCTTTTTTGTTATTTTAAACATTTTAATGTGTACATCAGGTCAAAAGACCTGGTTTTGACTCCTAACTCTTAACCTTAGCATATGTATCATCAGGCATGTTGCTCCATATTTTTGAGACAGTTTTCTCCTCATTCTACAGCTGAGGAAACTGAAGCCCTGAAAATGATTTGCCCCAAATTGTAGTAGTAGTAGTAGTAGTAGTAGTAGTAGTAGTAGTAGTAGTAGTAGTAGTAGTAG